GAACATAATTAAAGGTTCTCTCTTGCACTGCACCTTCACTTCCCTTTTCTTCATTTTCCCCAATATCTCGGTCTCTCCCTTTTTTTTTTTAAAAGAAATTATTACTTTTATTTAGCAAGGATGCTTTAAATTGATCAAAAGTGATGATAAAGACATTTATAATGTTACAAAAGATTTCTAATTCAGATAAATGCTGTTCTTCTGAACTTTCTATTCAACAAAGAAACCTGAAAAAAATCTAATCTGTTTTCAACATAATAATGATAATAATAAATGTTTTTTGAGCAGCAAATCAGCATATTAGAATGATTTCTGAAGGATCATTTGACACTGAAGACTGGAGGAATGATCACAGGAATAGATTACAGTTTAACAGATATTCACATAGAAAGCAGTCATTTTAAATAATACAAATATTTCACAATAGTACTGCTTTTGCTGTATTTTGGATCAAATAAATGCAGGCTTGGTGAGCAGAAGAGACTCTTTCATCGAATCCCATGCATCGATTCTGTTGGGAACCGTTTGACGGAAGCGTGGAACACATGTGAGCTGATTCCTGCTGACAGTCAAGAAGACTAACCGATTTATGATTTATTATCGATTTATTATCGAATGACAAAATCAGAAATGATCACTTTGGTGAAGGCATAAATATAAAATATTATTAATAATCATATAACTATAAAAATAAAAAACAATTCTCCCGGTGCTCCCGATGGCCAGTCCGGGCCTGACTCTAAGCAATATCTAATGAAATCGGTCGGGTTTTCTCTGTAGCTGTTTTGAACTTATGCTACTGTTTGAAGGCATTGGTTTACTGGATCCGTGAACTGAAAAGTTTACCGGTTTAAAAAAAAATCTGATTGCAAAAACTTGCTTCTTTTCATTTTTAAGGTATTGTTTCCGTTATAATGTACAGATTCAAATTAGGAGTCAATAATTAACTATTATTTGATTTCTCTGCGCGCCTCCCTGACATGCACTCAAGCCCCAGACCGACTCCGCTTGCATTCACGTGATTTGTCGATGTCGAGATGAGAGGCGAGCACAATCATCAATCAAATTTGAAGAGAAGCCGGCGCATCCTGACCACATCACTGTCTTTACTGGGTATGTTTAGGGAATATTTGCATTTATTCACATGCGATTTGATTAGCTAGTCATGGTGGACTGTCATGATTTTGGCTAATGCAGGACACTACTGAATGATGCGCATCAGAGGGGATTTAGAAGTGGGTATATGCAAAGCCGACTGATAAAGAAGTGGGTATACGCCGTATACCTGCGTATATACCCTCCACTACACCACTGAGTAGCCTACATTGTATTAAACAGTTGTAAGCTTAGCGTAGAACCCCAGTATATTTTAAAATGTCATTGCTTCGTGATAATTGGTTAACTTAAGTGTTAACGAGCCTGTTACGGAATTGAATGACTGAAATATCAGCAGATAAAGTGGGATTTAGGGTAAAAACTGATGTAGGCTACTTGCAGTATTCCAATGTTGAGAGCAGTCAGTGAGAAAATATTTTGCTGAAATGTTTAAGTCCTATACTGTGCTCATTAACTAGGATGTTGCTGGAATCAGTACAGCCAGAGACCCCTGGTCTTTCAATACCAGTGCTGTGAGGAATGATGCTACAGTAGGCCAAGCAGAGACAGGGATGAGTGTGGTAGAGGTAGGAAAAACCCAACAGACAAACAGTGACAAGAAAGAACAACATACTGTAGAGAATGACAGTAACAGCAGACGAATGGCATAAACAGACAGCACACAGACTCTACAACATCCTCAGATTATTTTTCTTTTGTTTTTATTGTATGTGTAAATTTGCTATAAATGTGTGCTCTGTAAAAAGTAGTAAGCATTGTTTGCCAGACACATACATTAAGTGTTTAAATATCTGTTACATATATGGTGCTGCTTACATTATTTCACCATCTGTACACAAATGTAAGTTGTGAATGCGTGTGTCCGTGGGTGGGGCTGTGTCAGTGTGGTAATGTGGGCCGGTGTGGCTACAGTGCCAGGGCTGAATTTTTGTCCCAGTCCGCCCCTGGTCATGTCTCATCGATTGTTAAAAACAGAAGTCCCAAAATCTGAGGTCAGAGTTCATTAGCATGTGGGCAGAGAGCCAAACTTTTGCATTCTTCACTGGAGTCCCTTATCTCTTATCTCTACACAAGACCCCACCCTGATCCACACCTAAGAACATAAACACCAGTTAACAGAGACACAACCATGAATGTGTACATGTTTCCAACCACTCTGAGAGAGTTAGTTAATCCAAAATGGAAAATTCTGTCATTAAATACACACCCTCATGTCGTCCCAAACCTCTAAGACTTTCATTCATCTTTGGAACACAAATTAAGATATTTTTGATGATATTCGAGAGCGTTCTGACCCTCCATATACAGCAAGGGTCCTACCAGGTTCAAGATCCAGAAAGGTAGTAAGGACATTGATAAAATAGTCCATGCGACATCCATGGTTCAATTGTAATTTTATGAAGCTACAAAAATACTTTTTAATGTACAAAGAAAAGTCTTTTGCACCTTCAGGAGAGTACCACGACGCATCAAACTCTCGTGAACGCGCCTCGAAGACTGGCATGGATAAGAAGAGGTTGTTGAATGAAGTCGTTATTTTGGTTCCCTTTCATGGGAACTTCGAACTGTGTCCTCTAGGGGTCGCTATGGGGAACGCCTCGTCGTGACCCGTGTCTGAAGCATACATTGAAAAAACACCAACTCGTTGGCCGGCAACAGCCATGACGTCACTACTGGTGTGACTATAGTATAAATAGGCACCGGGAGCTACACATCATTCTCTTCTTCGTCTTCATTGACTGTTTTCAATGTGTGAAGGGCACTCTTTATTTCCTAGCCAAGTTCTCATAAACTTTAATCTTTCATGAGTAAAAAAAAAAAAGTTGGCTTACCAGAGAGCTAACGTTTCACCAAATATGCACTTTAAATAGCATATGGATGGATAAGGGCATTAATTCGTGGTCTGTGTGTGGCGAGGACTGGCTACAGGAAGAGTAGAGATAGGGTGGAGAAGTCAAACTGACAGTTGTGAGGATATAAATGACCCCGCGTTCTTTGTATGTTGACAGCTCTGGCTTTGGTGATACTTCTAGTAGGCCCCTGTGAGTCCTGCAACTGCGGTCTTTGTTGTCACAGTCAACTTGTGTTCCCCCTGTGGCCATTCCAGGGGGCTGACCGGCCTGGGCAAACACAGAGGGAGACGTGATGTATGGCTCCTGGCCAGATCAAGCTTCTCCTCTGCAGGGTGCTCCCAGCAGTCGAGTGGAGTTGAGTCATCCTTCAGGCTGCAGGGAAACGAACAGACACTCCAGCTTTGACTATGACAGGAGCTGGAGGGGGGATGTGACTTTTCACAGTCAGATCCAAACCCAGGCAGGACTCGGACTCCAGACCAACCTGTTAAATACCAGAGCCAGGTGGACGACGGGATAGATAAGACAGCTTTTGAGAATAAAAATATAGCCATTCAGTGCAACATCACCTTTAAAGGAGTAGTTCATAGGAATAGTTCAAATCTGCGATTTAACTGTTGTGTTTTTTTTAACATTGCAGGACATTATCTTGATGCACTAGTCACTTTCACACAACACATCTGTCACAAGATTTTCCATTTTTAGAGTTTAGATATGATCAGATAGGATTTGTAAAGGAAGAATTTAGTAGAGTCTTAAAGTGCATGCCTTCCGAAATCAACCTTGGGTTCAGTTATGCTACTGCTTGAAATATTAAGATAGATGTTAATCCTTTCTTCAGCAACAAAAATGAATAGGTATGTTAATCCTGAGCTATTAAGCCTCAGGTTTTCTGTAGCCGGAGGTAAGAACAGTCCTAAAGCAGGCAAAACAATCATAGCTATAGTATTTATTTGCAGCTGCCTCTAATATGGAAGTTTCGATCTTTTACTCCCTTCAATATTCTTAAATGGGCTTATTATTTATGAATTGGCAGAGAGGGATATGCTTGGGCAAGAGCAAAATAACAGTGGCGATAGACTGATTTACGTGGTCTATTATTTTCAGGCTTCTCTGCCAATAGGATACTAAGATCAGTGACTCTTAGGATTCAATGTGTCTAATTTTATTTATTTTTAACAAGAGTGCTTCAAGGGTTTGTTCTTAGGCCAGGTATGTTGAGCCACACCCTTATCAGTCATGCTGTCATACTTTACCAGTGAAATACTCACTGTACACTCAACGTTATGAATTGCCCGTCTGTCAAAATACCCCATTTGCTTCAAAAGAAATCTAATGCATAGTTCACATGTTTTAAAACGAGTCATAGCAGAGCTCTCATACCTTACTATTTTATCAAAAGATGAGCCCAGTGCTGTAGCCCGTGGCCTTGTCAAGGAAACAAGTTGATTACACTGCATATACAAAGCATATTAAATTTGACAGGAAAAACAGTGATTGTGGAAGAAATCTTTGAGACGGCAAAGATAATGTATTGGCATTTTAGATGGAAGTAAATAGATGTCGAGATGGATTACACAGTCTTGCGCAAGTTGCAGTACAATCCATTTCTGAATTATATACAGTAATGAACTTATTTGTGGGAGGTATAATTGAGATGAAAGGTTAGGGTGATAAGTGAAAGTGAGGGAGGGAAAAGTAGCTTGACCGACATTTCCCACTTTCTTGCCATATGACACAGATGCATTGTTAGTGCTCTTTAATTTTGCTACTGTACCATGCCATTATGGATGCTGGGTCATGTGTGCCACAGGGAAGAGCAAATCACGTGATCTGGTTGTGGGTTTTGGTCCAGAATTTGTTGCCTCTAGGAGAAAAAATTATCCAATATAAAGTAATCTGCAAAAAAAAAAAGTTGCATTTTGCACAATTTCCATAGGTCACATCTGTACATTTTCCCCCACTGCTTTTACACTTGTGGATGTGCAAGTGGGAGAATAAGAGGCAAGTATTAACCTGTGATTGTCATACTTTGGTATTAACCCCTCAGTGCCAGTGACATCGTCAAGAAACTGTAGCTACCCTCCGTTACATGTAGTACCCTTAGGGCTGAAGATGGTGTCACCATATGACTCTCCTTCACATTCGCCAACTCAAAATCCAGCATCTAGCAGTACATGTTCATCACTCTCCCCAGCCTCCACAAACTCTGTCACCAGTAATTCTGATGACAGCCAAATTTCAAAGGTTCTGTCCCCTCAGTTTTATCAGCAGCAACAGGACAAGGCAGTGATATCATCTAGTAGCATGAACACCAACCAGCATCACTACCATTCGGAAGCATCCAGAGGCTTGCACTATAAACAAGAAAAAGCCAAAGAGAACATTGCAAGCTTCATGTCACATAACAGGCATTCAAAGTCCAACATGGACAATGGGAAAGGTTGTCTGGAGACCTACAGAACAGAAAACCATCCCCCACCTCCGTATTCTGCCCACCAACTCGCCACATCATTAGTCTCAGCAAACCTTGACCAACTGGATGTGCTTTTGACATGCAAGCAATGTGATCAGAATTTTAATGACCTTGTCTCTTTTCTTGACCATAAGCAATACTGTGGACAGCATACATTTATACAAAATGAGCCAAAGGTGGAAGACATTAGGAAGTTTCAGACAGACCACGCAAAAGCCATGTCATCTGGATCCAGTTACACAATTTTGCGGAGTTCTTCAGATTTGCATTTGTCTCTGCTTGGACTAAACAAGAATGGGGAAATAGTGCCAGATAATGAAACCAAAGGAGATATAAAAGATGATCCAATGAAACTGATGCTACCATCTGCACCCCTGCCAGATTTAGAAATGGAAGATCCCAAATTGGATAGCCTTATCACAGAGGCTTTGAACGGATTAGGCTATCAGTCAGACAATGCAGAGATTGATAGCAGCTTTATTGATGCATTTGTTGATGATGATCTCACCGCTACTAAATGCACATCAACAAGACAGACTTTGACTACCAAAGACTCCACAACATTTGAAGGTAGAACAAACAGTGAATCGACATCCAGTGAGAGATCTCAAGCTCACAGCAAATATCCTTTTGACTCAGACTTAGACAGCCTTAGTTCAGACAGCAAACTCAGAGACAGCCCTTTCAAAGAAAGCCAACATGAGTTGATACAGAAGGAAGGCCTCAAAGCAGAAACCTCTCCAACAGAGTCCCAGTCACAGGAGTCAAACTGCACACCGATCGAGTGGGAAACAAGAAAGTCAGAACAAAGAGAGGAGGAAAATGATTATAGTTCTAAGTTTCTTCTATCAAGCAAGTTTTCTGCAAGATGTGGACTTAAAAGCTTGCAGAGTAGCACAGCATTAGTGAAAACAACATCCACCTGTGCCAGTAAAAGTCCAACAGCTCAGAAACCAATACCAACAGAAGGAAAAAGGAGGAGGACAGGTGGCGGAAGCTGGAGTAAAGAGCTTATTCACAAAATTGTTCAACAAAAGAACAAATTGCATAAACTCCATGTGAAGGGCACCAAAAACATGCAGTTTTCACTTGTGATGGAGAGAGTTACTCCTGCAGTGCAGAACCCTACTTTCAGGGAGTATGATTACGTTTCTGACTCAGACGATGACTGTGAGCCTGTGAAGATAGCCAGTCAAGGACGTCTCAGCCAGAGCATTCGTTGCAAGTACACATACACTAAGGAGTGCAAGGGGAGGATTCGTGCTGACAAGAGCCAGGAAAGTTCATGGAAACAAAACAAAAATGAGTGCTTTGATCCCAAGAAAGCTTTGGATGTCTCTCCATCCTTGACGAAAGACAACCCTGGTCACCAAAGGCTCAGAAGACGGAGCAGTAGGTCTTCCACAAGTAGTGAACTCAGCACATCAATAAGTATTTGCAGCGATAGCATTGGCAGCCCGAAAAGTACTGATCATACAGATTCCGACTCTGAGAAACGAATAGAAGTACAGAGGAAAGATCAAGACTCTCTTGAACAGAATGTGTACGAACAATCGCCAGCAAGGATACGGAAAGAGTCTAGCACATCACTGGCATTGACCTTTACGAAAAATACAAAAAGGTACAGCACTGATAAGATACTACTCACTGAGCACAAGGATCGGTTCACTACTTCAAAATGTTCAAGCATTATCTGTAAGACTGAAGAGACTGCATCAGATCATACAATGACTAAAAGTACTGTCAGCCTTGCCAGATTTAAAACCACCAGAGTGGAAATAGAGGAAAAAGGGGACCACTTCGGGTTTGAGGCAGGAATGCTTGCAACCACAGAAGAGCCATTAAAAAAAGATTACCCCAAAAATGTCATATCACCAAGAGGGTCTGGTATAACACCAAATCCAATGGAAACCACCAACAATAGAGATTCTAGCCATGTTTTTAAACTCAAAAAAGATGCTGTCACATCAAAGGGTAAATCCCACAAGAAAAGAACATATAGTTCTGAATTGTCAGCACCCATTTTTGAGAAAGCCAGCAATGACAGCATATCAAGTGAAGAAGCCAGCAGAAGCTCAAATGATCTATTCCCTGACCCCCCACCTCTCTGCAGTACATTTGTGGACAAAGTATGTTTATCACATTCAAAAGTCCATGATGCTACAGCACAAAACAATAGCCAATGTCTCATTCCCTATCCTTCAGAGCATGATCAGAGTCCTATAAAGTCGCCCCTTTCTTTTGACACAACGTCAATGTTTGGTGACCTTTCAGTGGGAGGTTTTGAGAGCAATCTTTATCCAGATATTCAGCTTGCCAAAGAGAGCTTTAGTCCTCTGGAAACCACAACAGATAAGAAGGAACTTTTTGAGTCATCATTTTCACCATTCTTAGAGCAGAGAGACTGGAATCTGATGGTTGATGTTACTCCTGTGCTGCCAAATGAGATTTCTCAGTACAAAGAGGACTCTGACTCAAATGAGAATAAGACCAATTTTAACCATGTCCCATTTGCTTTGCCAGAGAAATTAATGGACTACAATCCAAATCTCAACAGTAATGTGTCAGTTGATGATCTAGAAATCAAAAGGATAATTACAGAGCTTGAGAGTCAGCTGCAAACAGCCAAACTCAGCAGCCCTCCACCATTAGACAGTGAGCTTCCAAAACAGTTAACAATGAGCAAATTCTCTCCACTGAGACTTGACCCTGACAGTGAAGATGAGGACAGTAGCTTAGAGATGAACTGTTCCTCAGAGAACTTGCAAATTGTCAGACCAGTAGACTCACAATCAGCGCTGTTCTCAGAACCTGACTTACCGTGGTCTAGTCCGCTCCCATTTGGATTGATATGTGGACAGCAAGGTCTTCATACACCAACACATTCCTCTACTATCAACACACCAACTGATTCAGAACATGACCATTTGGATATAAAGGACAGCATGGGGCTCACTGATTTGAATGCAGAAAATGGTTCACCTACGCATCTAGAGGACAAAACAGAGAAGAATGACTGCTTAGACAAGTCCGAGGAGATGCTTGAGCATGAAATTTACACAGAAAATCTAATGAAAAGCTTGGAAGTGATCTCAGATTCTTTGTCTTCAGGTTTTACATCACCTCAGTCATCTCCTAATCAAGAGAGTGTGGTTCCTGAAGAACATGAAAAACAAGACAATGAACACTCTGAACAAAATGAGTCTGAACATATAGAATCTAGAAACACAAAAGCAGAGCTCACAAAGTTCTTAGTGGAGACATTTAACACAAACTCCGCTACACTAGAAGAGACAACCAGTGACATTTCTGGGTCAGATAACAGAACAAAGGTCTGCATAAACGAGACTAGTAATGACACTCTTCATGATGAATTATTAGCTAATGAACAACAGCTTGCGGAGAGTTCCTTTGAGAGTCCACCAACTGCATGTGTGAACTCAAATGAAATCGATTTACAGAAGTCTTCTGTCTCCATATATGAACACAAGTGTGAGTCCCCTGTCAGCCAAACTGAAATTGCTGAGTGTGATACACAGTTTGATATTAAGAACTCAAATTATACTATGCAAAATTCAGATTTCTCCAAAATATTCCACTTCTCAGCATCCCCTACCATACCAAAAGATGAAAATGCCCTGTGTGTAGAAAAAATACAGAAATGTGATGAAGATTCAGCTCTAATTGCAAACCCAGAATTAATTTCTGAAGACAATGGGCATGTAACAGGTGAAACAACAGACTGTTCATCTGATACAGACATCCAACAACCCAGTTCAAACATCATGCCTCCTCATTGTGAAGACCAGTTGTCAACCTATTCACAATTAATTCATACACAACAGGTGGTTTCTCCTAAACATCTTCCTTTAGTTCAAGTTGAACATGAATGTATAGACAGTGTGGAGAGAGCCATGCCTGATATGACATTGTTTTCTGTGCAATCAGAATGTGAAGAGAATCAAAAAAAGAACAGAGTTGAGAGTCCTCAACTTCTTATTTTGACTTCTTACAAGTCTATCCAAAGTCCTTCTGAGCTGAGAGATAATGGTCCACTACCAAGTACAGTTACCCCTTCACTAAGTAAAAGCAGACCAGCTCTGGAACACAATAACTCAGATCAAATAAATATTGGCAAGTCAGACACTTTTGATCCAGCAACAACAGAATTAGATAATTCATTTAATCCCCATCTGGATTTAGTAGAAATTACAGGAAGTAAAATTTCTAGCCCTGGAACACTGTTGGCTGTGGACAAAATCTCAAAAAAAACTTTTTCTGAGCATTCTGGGGGACTGGATAACTCTCAAGATGATTTGAAACTCAGCCCCTTGAATTACAGTGAAACATGTTTCAATGAATACAGCTTCACCTCTAAATGTTCAAACAAAGGAAATGACCAGCCTGATGTCAAATCAAACTCTACAGACAGTTACATTCTCAATGCCTGTGCTTTATCTCTTGATAAACCATTGTCATCCAGCCCAACATATAATGCAAATGAACTAGAGCCAAATATTCAGGGCCATCTGACTGGATTTGATAAACCCGAAACCTCTATAAATAATAAACAAAATTATATCAAATATTCAAGTGTCTCAGCTTCATGCAGTAATTATGTTGAGGAAGACAGTACAATTATCTCTGAACATGTCTCAAAACTTGGCCAAACTGACATGGATGGTAGTCACCTTCCACCTGAAACTGTTGATTACATGGATCTGCACCTCAAATTTCACAAGAAAGCAGATTCTGAAAAGCTGGACCACCAGATGATCACCAGTGAGCATGATTCAATGCAGAGGTCAACAATGTCAGATGTTAAGGAGATACCTAAACATCTGATACAATGTGCAAAAGCAGCATCCATGGGTCTCACATTCACATCTGTCCAAAATGAAGGACCAAGTTTAAAGTCAAATGAGACAAAAACATCACAGAAAAAGGGTGGTACACAGAATGCAGTACAAGGAAAATTTCAGTGTGAAATATGTGCAATGTTCTTTCGTACACAACCTGGACTTAAAAGACATAAAGCCATGAAGCATGTAGTAAAGACTGAAGGAATTTCTCCCATTGAAAATCTAAATATGAGCAGTCAAATGTTCATGCCAATTTTAATGTCACACCCAATGGAAAAAGCACTGAAAGGTAGCATGGATGTTTTAAGTCCAGCAGTTATTTTACATCCAAACAGAAGTGAAATCTCAGATGGACAAGAACAGCAAGCAGATCCACATTTGATCTTTCAAGGGATTGCAAGTGATTCTGATGTGTCAAAGATCCCAAGAAGTTGTGATATTGATCAGAGAACTTCTCTAAATGAAAAAGCAAATAACAGTAACACCACTGTGGACATGAGCAGTGAAATGTTTGCTCCAAAACTGGTAAAGCAAGACACCTTTTCAGATGAAATACTCAGTACTCTTCAAACAGATATATTGCAGGCTATCTCTCCAGATTTTCCCTCAATGGTACAACAAAACTGTCCTAAGTCACCTGAAAAACAGGTCCCAAATAGCAGTCACAACTATCATGAAGTCAGTGTGAGGGAGGAACAGAAGAGCGTGGTAGTAACCAACAGCAGTGAAGAGCAAATGGAAGAAACCACTTCTTCCATAGGGCATTCTGTATCGCATAAGGAAGGAGACACATATGACACTGACGAAGTTGTGACAAAGTATTGCACTATTAAGCGAAATTATGTTCAGACAGAAGATATCCACTATCCACTTGGGGATTCTTCTGTGGATATCAAGCATGAGAACACCTGTTCTCCTGCAGAAGACAGTCATGCACTTACTGAAGCTTTAGGAATAGCACCTGATCTCAAGGCTTTCTTTGATGATGAAAGCACTTTTTCTCAATTATTCCCAAGAAATGATGACAGGAAAAGAAAGAAATGTGCAAGGGTCTATGGTAAAAGCAACAAAAAGCAAAAACAACTGTCCTGTTTAATTTTAGACTTACCTCCCACTGGTGCCTTTATTGATAAGTATGAGGAGTCTAAAGAAAACAAGATGGGGCACAAGTTTACCAGTGACATGAATGACCCTTGTGAATATGAAACCATACTGACCCCCAAAAGCTTAGTCAAGAGTTCTATGGAGAGTGCATGTCATTCAAAAGATGACCTAATGGATAACCAGGCTGGTTATGAGAAAAATGTAGAAACTGGCATTAAAGAATTCTTATGTGAAAAAGAGGGAACAATCAGACAACCCTTAGAGCATCAGGATGATTTGCATGATTGCATTGTGTCAGAGAACACAGTTCCTCAGGATGATTGTAAATCAGAGGTTCCTGCTACAGCCTGCCCTCTCCAAATGGTCTGTGTTCAAGATAATGCCTCTTGTTCGCCAAGCACTGAGATACCTAACCTTAACACTACAATTCAGATTCCTGTACCATTTTTTGAGCCTGAGAGAGATATGCCTTTGGTTGAGACCATTGCAAGCACAGAACTGAAAGACTCTGAAAGACCTTGCAAAAAGCCTGTGGAGCGGAAGTGTAGGAAACGCATTGAACCTGGACTTAAGCCTAAAGATAAGCAGTACAAATGCAAAGTGTGCTTCACATGGTTTCTCACCTTAGGTGAGCTCGACTTCCACAAGCTCTCTCACAATCCATCACCTCCCCCAACTTGCTATATGTGTGTCCAGCGCAAGTTTAGCTCACGAGAACAACTTAGGGACCATCTCAGGGAGAAACATGCCAAAAACAAAGCAGGTGTTTGGACTTGTGGCATGTGCTTGAAAGAAATTTCAGATGTCTGGATGTACAATGAACACTTGCGTGAGCATGCCACACAGTTTGCACGAAGAGGCCAGTCTCAGAGCTCCCTCTTGGACATGCCTGGGTGTTTCATGCAGGAAAATGCTGTGAAGAACTTCATATCTTCAATAATGCAGCATCGACCCAGCACAACTACAAAAGGAGACAATCTTAAATCATCATCTAAGGAAGAGAGAAGAACATCTTTAGATGTTAATGGACAAGAGTTGAAGGTTCCAGAGGAGTTTGATTCCATAAGTCTGAAGACTAAAACGAGTATTGGGGTAGGAAGTAAACACTGTGCACTGACAACGCTTGAGGTTCTACCTAAAGCAGAGACTCCTTCCAAAAATGCTGAGATGCATCCTAATTGCAAAGACCCTTCAAGGGACTGTCACCACTGTGGCAAGCAGTTTCCAAAACCCTTTAAGCTCCAGCGTCACTTAGTTGTTCACAGCTTGCAAAAGATTTATCTTTGTCACAAATGTCCAGTGTCCTACCAAGAGGCAAAGGAGCTTAAAGACCACCTTAAAAATGAACATGAGGAGACAGATGAGCCAGACTCAAAGCATACCACACTCTATACTTGTGAACTCTGTGCCGATGTCATGCATGTAATTAAGAAGTCCTTCATCTGCAGTACCTGCAACTACACATTTTCCAAAAAGGAACAGTTTGATCGTCACATGGAGAAGCACCTTGCTGGAGGGAACAAGATCTTCAAATTCAGGGGAGTCATGAGACCTTGCAAGATTTTTAATTCAAAAGATGATATATCTGACTTGCCACCAAGCAAGAAAAGGAAGGAAATGGAGAGCAGCTTGGACATCACAGCATCACACATGCAAGGCATCAAATCAGTGTTGCCAATTATAGATGACACTGCACAGAATAGTACGGAGGACCATTCTACTGAAACGAACAATACCAGTGTGAAAATTGAAGATGTAGCTGAGGACTTCCCTGTAGTTGCCAAGGATATTATAGAGTGTACAGTGCAAACTGATACAGGAGAACAGAGTCTTTCAACAGAGCTGAAGGAAGAGGATGAAAGCTCTTCTCCATCTCATGAAATCCAAGCGGATGTGCCCAGGGAGGTCAGTGCAACTGACAAAGAAGCTCTGACAGAGGTTTGTGACGTTAAAATAGAAGATGACTGTTGCACAATTCCAACAACATTGCTAGATTCAGAGGTTAACGTTGCAAGTATTTCCAGACAAAACAAAGACAGGGTGGAGACGAACCCTTCAGAAAGCCTTGAAAATGCAAGTGAACAAGGGCAAACAACAGACTCAAGTGTATGCACCATTCAAGTATGCAGTCAAACAGATATAAGTTTACCAAAGCAATACATGCAAGGACTCTCATCTTGCAATAACTTTGAACTCTCATCTGTGAAGCAGTCTTCAAACGAGATAAGCTACTTGAAGCAGGATCAAACAATCGAGACTTTATTCTCCATCAACAGAAATGAGAATAAACAAGATGTTCACACTCATGACAGTGAACAGCCGACTACTGGCCAGGCTAAGCACATAACTATGGTCAAATCTGAAAATAACCCAAGGTGCCTTAGTACCACTGATTCTGCACGTCACACCAACAGCTCTAATACATGTGAAGATAAGGACTCAACCAAACAACAAAAGAAGAGGAAAGAATTTAAGACATCTCACAGCTCTCAGAGAACACCATCTCCAACTGCAAGGGAAAATCTGGGCATTGACCCAAGAGTTAAAAAGAAGTTCAGACCTAGCAGGTGTGAAAATATCGATGGGCAAAGGAAAACCGATCTTCCCAATGACTATCCAGTGCTTACATCAGTAAAGGATGACACAGTCAGCAACAAAATAATCTCCAAGCATAAAATAGGATCTTCCAGTCTGGGCCTTCACCTAAAGAAAGGTCCTGTAGAGTTCTCACCCAAAAAGGTTGAGATTGTACGCCACTTCAAAGGAGATTGCAAAGGGAAAAAGAGCATTCCTAGGAGACCCATTCATTCCCCTTCTTCTAGGGTCTCCACCCTGAACAGCTCATTTAATAAATCACGGTCCAATCCAGGGGTCAGATCCATAGAGACGCACTCATATCGTACTGCAGAGTCACAAAACAACCTCCTCAGCCAGCTGTTTGGCCAAAGACTAACTAGTTTTAAAATTCCTTTAAGGAAGGACACTTCAGAATCTATTAATTAAGGATTAAATGGATGCTATTAACGAGGAGGTAATTAAGTGATCCACTAGGCATGTTGTTACGGCAGTTTATTCATGAGACTAGGATTGTATGGCCCTCCTCTGTGAAATCATTTAACTCCTTGTTTAGTCACTTTATTGCATTCCTCTTGTAAATGTGTATTTACATATATGTGAAGACCAACAACAAAATGTATGAATATAGGATGAATTTGTTGGTTACAGATGAGTTTATTTTCTCTATTTTATAGCGGAGCATTATCTCCAAGAGAGTGTATTTCATCAGCAACAAAGAAAGGGTTTCGGAAAAGAGTTTACTTGAAAATGATCATATTTGAGTTCCAAATAATGCATGACACTTTTACATTACATGTTCTTAGATGTTTTCCTAGCAACAGGACCAAAAGACATCCCAAGTCTGGATCATGTCAATGTGCCTATTGTATATGCTTCAGAGAATTACTCCTTCATACGCTTTTACTTTACTGTACTGCGAAGACACTCGTTAGTATTAGCTTTTGTATCATCACTAATTGGTGCTATTTTATTATTATTATTATTATTTGTGTAATGTGAACACAATGTCTTATAACTGAAGGGAACATGTAGTAATCACACTCGTCATTGCTGGTACTCAACAGTTTTAGAGTAAATGACACAAAAATACTGTGTAAGGTCAATCAAAAAGAAAGGGTTAATTTGTGTCTTAATTTGATGTGTTCAGAGGAGGGCAAGGAAAAAGCCTTTTCCAAAACTGAATTCAGTTTCTTTTAATCTATAATATGAACTCAGGTGCTATTATTGCGCATGAAACCCTTAGGAATTCTTCCCATGCACTGATGTTACAATACACAAACCCCACACATGATCAACTATAATGTCCCCCAGTTCTTTAATTATTACTATTTACTAGAACAAAAGGTGCTTTGTCATGTTTATATGTATCTTATATTGTATAATATTGTAGGTTGATCTTTTCCAGTGCAATGCATAATGTCAAAGTTCTATTTTAATAATGTGCAAAAGATGAAGAGAAAAAGGAAAGGAAAATACAAAGCCTACTGAAGGCTTATGAGTGGATCACAAAGTGCATCATATAAACTTGGTTATTAAAAAAATATTTGCATTAAGTCTTGTGTGTCTTTGTCTTCTCTGATGGTTTCCTTTGTTTCAATTTGACAGCTCCACAGCATGAAATATGTGCTTATAATTGCTTACAGTGTTTAATCCTGAGAGAAATTTCTCAAAATACAGTGTGAAAGAATTAACTGTGTGCAGCCTGTGATAAGAAATGGAGAGGATGGCTTTGTTTTAATCAGGCAAGAACTGCACTGTGTCTTTTGAATTCACATTTAATGATCAATTTAAACTGACATCAAAATGAATAGGTGAAGATCATAGAGCCATCAAGAGTGAGAGAATGACAGCTTTGATCAGAAATAAGACATGTCTTCCAAAAACAATCGTGTTACAAATATAAACATATACAGTGGAGTCCAAAACAAAGACCATAACCAAAATTGCTTCCATTTTGCCTGTTTCTCTCTTTTTTTTTCAATTTTAAATTCCATAAGTATAAAAATTCAAGTGAACAGCTGATTTAATGTTGAATTTCTAAGTATTTGGTTTGTCCGCTTTTTCTTTAATGACAGCAGAACTCAAGCTGATATGAACTGCTGTGTATGTTTGTTATGTAATACCTGATGATCATGTTATCCAGTAGCCTATGATTTGAGAATGTTCCAATAACATCTTTTGTGCTCAATGCTTAAATGTCACAAATTTTCTTATTTGATTAGCGAACTAGAAATTTCATTAAATTTTTCACTCCATTTTAGGTTTTTTTTAAGTTTCTCAAAATCCTAAACCTAGTTTTTTTTGTTTATTTGTTTGTTTAGCTAAAAAATGTTTTAGTTAAAAAAAAAGTTTAAGTTTAAATTCAAATTCGGAATCCTAATTTTTCAGTATGGTCTTTGACTTTTGAACCCCACTGTATTTATACATGGGTCAAAGACGAAAAGGGTGTTTCAAGCATCAAAAAAAATAAAAGTGCAATACAGCTTTTAGTTTTGTTTTCCTTCCGTACATTAGAATGTGTCCTGTTTAAGTTTATATTTTTCTGAACAAAAAAAAATTACTATCATGCATTTTTACCATGTTTGACAGAAGACTCGCACTAAAATGTCATTCAGTGCAACAATATTTATATACCAAAAAATCTTGTTAGGTATATTTAAAACATGAATAATTTGATGACATATTAAAAGACTCTATTTAAGCATCACAGTGCAGTCTTCAAATATCAATTAACTTTCATTTTAAATCTTTATACTTTGCTAATGTCCTTCAAACCACTATGTTTTCCAATTTGCCAGCAAGAAGTTTTTATAAGGAAGTGAAAATCATTTAAACTATATAAAAATTTAGTATGATCATATATTCTTATTTGTATTTTAATAAGTACAGGTCAGAATAAGTATATTGTATTGTTTTTACATAAATATATGTGTTATACTGAATGACCATGGTTTGTTACTCTGAATGACGATTTGCCAAAAAGAGAGATAACAATGCCATTGTCCCCATAACTGAAATATTTTTAGTATTAATCTGTGTCATTAAATTAGTTTTAATAATAATCCTGAGACCTAATGACTGCAGAAACAGATGAAATATAATAAGCATTTTCCTGATGCTCCCCTGCCATGCTTGCTTAGCTTGTCACTTTGTTTCTGACTTGCTCGGCCTCAAAAATTCCTGCTTGCAACCACATTTATTAATACTCTCTGTTTGCAAACATAAATGACATGATCAGGATGAATATTTGGGGTGGAGAATCCCCTCAGTGATCTCACTTGAACTTGTGACATACTGTAGTGAGGGGGTCTCTCTGCCCAGAATTATTGGCAAGCTATTATTTCAACAATTACAATCCTCAATACCCTTCTCTTTTCCTGGCTAAAGGCACGATCACACCAAGTACGGTAAGGATAAAGATAAAGATAAAAAAAAAAATATCAAAAAAGTGGAAGAAAAAACAACCTTCTGTATAAAAGAATAGCAGATTCCACAGCACAACTAATGATAACTGCACAGAGAAACAATATTGTTGGAATCTCTTATATTGTTGGATATTGATGGATTTGTTTGTTTTTTGCAGCTGATGAATGATAAAAGCATTGACAGCCAATTAGAATTCATTCAATTTTAAAGAGCTCGAGCATTTAAAGTGGCAGACAACAAATCTGCAGCACATGCTTAGAATGAACAGTACTATTGTTCATCGGTGTAGAGGCTAACCTCTCGGTTACTTTTGTAACCCTCGTTCCCTGAAGGAGGGAACAGAGACGTTACGTCAGTCGTGACTGACGAATTTGGGCTCTCGCCCGCTGAGCCTGGCGGCTGGCGCTCCGCCATGCCTGACCGCCGAGGGTGCGGGAGGAACTTCAACAGGGTTCGCCATGGGGAACTGAACTGAGAAGCAGAAAAGCGCACGTATCCGGTCCTTAGAGGGGAATGGCGCAGCAAGCGTGATCGACACCGAGCGGGTCCGGTGTTACTGCCTGCCTGAGGTGAGTACACGAGAGGATACGGGCTCTACACGGAGATTATAGAATCTCGCAAATGTGTTAGGCGTCACCCAGCCGGCAGCTCTACAGATGTCTGCTATCGAGGCGCCCCGCACCAATGCCCAAGAAGATGCCACTCCTCTCGTAGAGTGAGCTCTCACTCCGAGGGGGCACGGTAACCGTTGGGCCTGGTAAGCTAAGACTATAGCCTCCACTAACCAGTGGGCAAGTCTTTGTTTGGAGACAGCCTTTCCCTTCTGCTGTCCTCCGAAGCAGACAAAGAGCTGGTGCAAAGAGCAAATGCGCATAGAGCGAACGAGACAGAGCAGAGCGATGGCTGGGTCTGTGCTTGCAAGTTCACCACCTGATCCCTAAAAGGCGTGGTGGGAACTTTGGGCACATATCCAGGCCGGGGTCTCAAGACAATGTGAGAGTTACCCGTTCCGAATTCTAGGCACGAATCGTCGACCGAAAATGCCTGCAGGTCCCCTACCCTCTTGACCGAGGCCAATGCGGTGAGGAGCACTGTCTTTAACGACAGAAACTTAAGCTCTACTGACTGCAGAGGCTCGAAGGGCTCCTCGTTCAAGGCCGCCAGGACCGAGGGGAGATCCCAAGAGGGTAACAGGTGAGGGTGCGGAGGATCCAGCCTCCTTGCCCCTCTGAGAAACCTGATGACCAAGCCGTGCTTCCCCAGAGACTTACCGTCTACTGCCTCGTGATGTGCGGCACTGGCAGTAACATACACTTTGAGGGTGGAGGGAGACAGCCTTCGCGCCAACCTGTCCTGCAGGAAAGAAAGCACAACTCCAAGCGATCTCATATGAAGCAACCCGAGCGGCGTGACCGTGGAAGGAGCCCAGGCAGTTCAGCATCGACTGGGCACGCTCTACTGAGAGATGTGCTGAGAGGTTGACCGAGTCCAGCTCCATGCCGAGAAAAGAGATCCTCTGCACCGGGGAGAGTTTGCTCTTTTCCCAGTTGACCCGAAGCCCCAACCGGCTGAGGTGACTGAGCACCGTATCCCTGTGTTTGCACAATTGCGCTCGGGACTGGGCCAATATGAGCCAGTCGTCGAGATAGTTGAGAATGCGAATGCCCGCCTCCCTCAATGGAACGAGTGCTCCCTCCACAACCTTGGTGAAGGCAGCCCTCGTTCCATTGAGGGAGGCGGGCATTCACATTCTCAACTATCTCGATGACTGGCTCATATTGGTGTGGACAGGGATGCTCCTGTCTTGCGCGCAGAGATTGCGGCCCTGATCTCTGCACGCAAGACAGGAGCATCCCTGTCCAGCACAGAGGTGAACCAAATGCCCCTGAACTTGGGAGGACGCCAGGCGAACTGAATCGCGTAGCCGAGTCTGATGGTTCTCAAGAGCCAGCAAGACGGCCTGGGGAGCGCTAACCAGGCCCTCAGCAACCGAACAAGCGGGACCAGGCAAACCACCGATGTACCCGCAGTGGTGCAGCGGAGTGGAAAACAGGGACCCAACCCGGGAGGGTGGGGTCTGAGTGTGCGGCGCACCACTTACCTGCCTCCACAGCTGGGCAGGGGCCTCGCGAGGAGGCATAGCGTCCCTGAACTGGACCCTGCTGCCCATAGGCGAAAGGAGAG